CCAGATTTATAGCGTTGGTAATACTATCCACAAGGGAAAACTATTAAGTAAAAAATTTCTTCAAGGAGAGGATTAAAAAAAAAAATCCAAGACTACTTAAAATTTTTGGAGGATTCTTGTGGTTTATGTGATAACCATAAATATATACAGGGGTCTTTTTTTTTTTTTTTTGCTTCCAGAGCAATTAAAAAGTGCTATATGGTAGTGTATGAAATCCTTAAAACAACAGTAGTTTAATGTAGATTACTCCTATTCTGTTAAAAGCACATACATTCATTTGAAACAATGTTTTATTTCCCCAAAGTATTATTTTACTTTAAGATAATTTTCTTTATATTACATTAGTCAGTAAATGAAAATTTTGAATGAAGGAGAAATTCTAGGGAAAAAGATTATTCCAAAATCTTTCAAAGTAAGACAGTTCAAATCAAAAACAAGGAACCACATTGCATTGCCTCCAGGTCTGATACAAATGAGCTTCCGAGCATGTACTGAAGATTACTAACTAGTAGGAGTAAGTGAGGTCTATCTTTCACAATCATCATCTAAGTCAAATCCCTCCCAACCCAACCAGTTATACACATGTAACACCCAAAGGCCTAATAAGTTTTCCTATAAGATTTTGTGCAAAGTACACTGTCACCTAAGGTGCTCAAAATACAATCCCTTCTGCAAAAGACATAACTGTGATTCAGTCTTTTTTGTTTGTTTCTGTAGCTTTCAGCATGACCTCTAAAGACTTCAAGAGGTAATAAGGAAGGACTCAGCAAACAAGTCTTCTAACCAATAAATTAATGTGCTTGAAAGTCATACTTGAAAAAAAAAAAAAGTCAGTAGTGTATAGGTGGAGGGAAGAACAAGTATATTCATTTTCAAACCATTGTGTCCATCTGCATGGCTCTCAGATGCTTACTACTCCACAGTTTTCTTGAGAGAATTTTTCTCTGTACAACTGTTAAGGCTGTTACTGATACCATAAATGCACCCTTGATCCAAGTACTTGAAATTCACACATGTAATAGATAACTATTGAGATAACCATCTCCCACTGATATTTTAAGGCCAATGGTAACAAAGACAAGATTGGTGAGGACTCTCAAGGAAATAAACCAAGGGGCAGTTTCACACTAAGGATATCTAGGGTCATTGTGTTAGTTCAAATTAAGACTCACTCCCATCTCGAGGCTATCATGTCAAAATATGACAAATAAAACAAAGGAAATCATGGATTCATTTAAAAGAAAAAAACAGAAATGGTTCAAATAGATCAAGCTAATATCCTTAGGAGGTTGAAAAGACAGACAATATCTCACAACATGGAGACCTGGTGAACTTTCTATGAGACTGGGATTTACACCTTTGTGAATTTGTTGTGAATCTGAAAATAGACCATACATTTATTTTAGACACCAACTAATTTGAAAATGCAACAAAAAGAAGTAAGGATTATCTTCTAAATTTGGCTGTTAAGATAACTTTTTAAGAACAGTACTAAAACTACCTAGAGTTTATACTTTGAGGTATTATATATATTGAGATACATTTAAAATACTGTTTATGAGAAAATTAACCTAAAATACACTTATAGGTAATAAATTTTTACCTTACATATAAATTATGTAAACAGAAGCTGTCAAGATGTCTCATTACCTATATATCCGCCACAAGTTTCTTGCCAGTTACACAATGTCATGCTTTAATTCCTGACTTTGAATTGTTAAAATTGTTAACAAAGTAAAATGTGACTCTGTAAACATTATCAGCACCAAAATACAGCATATCATGTGGGGTAAAATGAAGCAAGATTACATTTAAGTAAAATCAATCTTTTATTCATCTGCATTCAAATTCCAAATCTCACTATATTTCTTTCCTAAGAAAAATAATTACAATTAAAACCCTATTTGTTTCTTTTCTGTCACTCAGAACTGAATCATAAAATATATCAAAAGTGAATGCTCTCCTTATATATCGCAAAATATAAAAATATATGAGAGCCATGTAAAATTATACATAGATACTTCAATTAACTCAAAACTTTATTATTTAAAGATATATTCTATAAATGGCCTGTGTTTATTTCTACTAGAAAAAGTAATGGAAGTTATTTTACTATACTCACAGGGACAGATGCAGATTTTGTAGGGCCAGAAATGTATACAATTTTTCTGATCTTCCTCAAAAAAATTAATATAAATTTCCAAATGCAACATTAGGAAGGGACATGTCTAAGTGAGGGGCACTGAAGCCACATTTCATTAGTTACTTGGGATATCCACTTATGCACAACAGACAATTAATTTTTAATACTTCTCTGACCATGCGGCATAATAAGTTACATCGAAATATCATTACTTCCAGTCATATGCTATCTTTCATTTCCTGCTACTCAGGCCTTCAGTATTCTATATTCTCATAACCTATACCTCAATTATAAGAAATCCCCTATAGGTCAAAGATGCCCTCTTTCTTGGTTGGTATTACATTCATCTACAAATAGAGGTAAAATAATGAGTTTCCTGAAGACTGATTACGGTTCATAAAAATTATGTTAAGTAATTATACTCAGGTTAACTGTTAATATACCAAATAGCAACTGGGGAAACACTTTCACCAGACACATAAAATAATCCAGAAATTTGTTTCGACATACCTGTTTTAGTGTTAGAGAAACTGCTATGCATTGCTAATGTAACCTAATAATCTATCCTATTTTTGTTCCAGCAGAGATGGGAAAGAATACAGTATAAGCACACATGTACATTTGTGGGTGCACACACCTAACATTTATGTTGGGTACTGGAGTCCGCCATCTTTTCTAAGAAAAATCTTTAATCTCCTGAAGAAAGACAAGAACAAGATCTATTCCCAGCCGACCTAAACATTCATAATAGTCCAATTTTCCTCAACTGACCAAAGAAAAATCTCAGGAAAATAATCTAACATTTTTAAAAGTGAGTCAAAAACATTTACTGAAATATTTGTAATTGCATAAGGAGAATCAGTCCATTTTTTTAATCAAATTGTTTTAGCTTTGGAAGTCTTTACTAAATCCGTTTAATTCGCAATTAAATACTTGAGACTCCATGTTACTCAAAAAGTAGTACATTTGAAAATAGTATATTTGTTGTCTTAAACTATATTGGCCACTTTTACTTTTTGTGTTATAATAAACTCATAATATGTATATAAACATTTGAATATCCACAATGGTGCGGGTATAATGTAATGGTTTATATATAATTGTCTCTATATATAATTTTAAATATATGAGAAAAAATTTTACTTAGTATAAATAAAAATATACATATTAGTGTTCAGGAGAGTTTTCAAATAGAGTTGTCTTGATTTGATATCTGAATAAAAATTATGAATATCGATTTCCAGATTATTGAAACCCTGCACCTTGCCGTGGTGTATCCTAAAAATAAAGTGAAGTACAACTTAGTCTTTATTACTTTTAAAAAAATTACTGACCGACTTACTCTCTGTTGGGTTAAAAATTATAGTAGCATTAGAAATTTAACAATGCAAAAATCATTTTTTTAAATGATGGGAAAAATAATGAAATGCATCCTAGTTAGCTCTTATGATGTTATATTTGAAAAGAAATTAAAACAAAAAATAACAAAATAAAATGAGACCTGTCACTGTGGTTATAAGCACATAATTCTCAGGAATAATCAAGAACTATGTAAACCTCTCCATGTGATCTTACTATTTTTTTTCATTAGACAAAACAAACAAACAAAAAACAAACAAACCCCATAAAAACCCTTAAGAAGAGTTTTCTGGTTTATATTACATGGGCCTGGACGGTTAAAAAAAAGGGGGGGGGAATATAAACACAATCTTTCTACCTCAGCAACAGAGTGGCAAGAGATACAGACAAATGGATATAAGAAGCAGAGACTACAGATCAAATATGAAAACCAGATGGTAAGAGAAAAGGGAAGGAATTTTTATGAATTCACTTAAAGACCCAAACACCAGATTTGGCTGAAAATAATGTCAATCTTAGATGTGTATTAAATGTTATCAAGAGCAAAAACTGAAATTAGTGACTTGGAATTGCCTCAAATTATAAATTATCATTTCTGCTTTGGTCAATTTTCTGTAAACTCTGTATCAGCTCAATGATTTTAATCAGTGTAGTTCTTTCAAAAATTGTTACTTTTAAAATTAGAGGATGAAACATACTCTGGTATGACTATTTGATCTTAGATGTATGTAAATAATGGTTTACACATTCCATCATTATATTACTCTATTTGAAAATTCCACAATATTTTCTAAACCTAGCATAAAACACCTGTCTGAATACACACACAGTTTTTCCTTCTTTTAGTGAATTTGTTATCAGTTATCTCTTTTGCAAGCTGAATAATAATTAAGGTGAGGAAATAACTGACAAAGCTAAGATAAAGAAGTGGAAAATTTTTAGAAACATCAGTTGTAAATCTTATTTAGCAGTGACATTTCTTCCTCAATTTTTATGTAAATATATGCCTTTTCCTAATTAATCTGGACAGTTTCATCTGAAGAGATATTTTAACAGAATATAAAATATATAAAGGAAATGTACAAACTGTCAAAATTTATTATCATGTAAAAATAGCTATGAGATTAAAAATTGTTCCTAATACTAACACTGCAAATAGATATGATTATAGGGTTGGGCATAATATTTTGGGTATTCTCTTTCTTGTTGATTTCTGTCTTATAAGGAAATTGCAATTTGAAGATTTAAAAATGCATATATTTAGCTATATTATCAAGGGGTAAGTTATTAGGGAAACAAATGATTGTGCTTAAGAGGCTTTAATAACAAATTGACTACTGCTTTCTCTAAGAAAGATGTTACATTCTTTCATGATCAAGTGGGCTGCCATGAAAACAAAGTGGGTTTTCCTGATAAAGAGTAAAAAAAAAAAAAAACTTAACATAATTATCGGAATTTTTAGACAAAATTCCTGGATTTTTCTCACAAACAATAGCCCCTGGAAACGCTTCTTTAATGTAGTCATTAAAATTAGGCATTTCCTCTCTGTCATTTGTTCAGAATGCTCTGGGTGTAATGCAGTAAAAGATGAGTGATATCTTAAGTTGGTGTCTAAGAGGAAGCAATGCAATGCCAACATAAAATGTATTTCTTTCCTCAGTTCAGAATGATGATGTACAATTTTCCCCCCAGAAGAGCAGAAAACACTTTTCACAGTATAGTCATCTACAGTATATAAAAATTATTTCTATAAAAGCCATATACACAGAAAACATCTCGGTGTTCATGATGAGATATGTTACAAAGATCACTAAAAGGAATTGTTCACTCGGTAGTCTTTTTCCTCTCACTTCACGTAGGTATCAGAACTTCCAAAATCATGTGAACTCATTGAATACTTGCATAACACATCTGCTTTCAGTAACTACCTGGAGTTATAAATTTCTTAGAAACCAGCTTGAACACATTAAAAGATATGAATAGTAACAACTGATTCCTTTAGTCCATCACCAAAGTTGCAATCCTCTGGATTTTCATAAAATGCCTAAAGATGCACATTTTGTTTCAGCCCTCTGGGCAGACACAAGGCCAAGAATAGATTGCCAAGATTTCAGATGCATTAATTCATAATTTACGACAATCTTCTTCTGGTACAACTTCCAGTATTATTTGCAATGTTCTGGTTATTCTGTCTACAAAGAAATAAAAAAGAGAAATTAAAAATGCACAGAACTCAGAAATGCATAAAAACAGCAAAATGTGAATTATTTGGGGTTGAATACTGAAAACACATAACCGCCTATTTCATAGAGCACTTTCAAGAACTGTTTACTTCATTAGAATCCCATCATGCTCAATTAATTATTTGTCACTTCTGTAACTTCCCATGATGGCTTCTCAGCAAGAATACATTAATATTTTGTATTCAAATAAGAACTTCTATTCATAAACCAGGAGGCTAAAAAATATTTCAAGGCAATAGAACCAACATAAATAAATTTTAAAAATACACTTCCTATTCCCCTTGAAATTAGTTTATTATTTTAGTACCTATGAGATTATAAACAATTCCTCAGAAAAATCAAAAGACTCATACTATAATGTCTGGCCTTAAACTTGTCACATATTACTGAGTAAAACACGTTATGTCCCAAGGCCTTATTTCCTCATCTGCAGAATGAGGGACTTGGGAGTGCCATCAGCAAGATAGAGGGCTAGGAGGTCCCAACACCTGCCTCCCCACAAAACAAAACAAAACAAAACAAAAAAACGAAAAGACAAGGGAACCAAAAAATACACCAAGAACAATAAATAAACAGATATAAACTGAAGATAACAGATCAGGGAAATTCTAAACAACAAAGAAAAGGGGGCAAAAGTCTGACAGAGCTAAAACATTGAGGATGTCTGCCCAGAAAAGTAAAGAAAGAATTTTTCCTGCATCACCCCATCCCTCAGTCAGAAGCTGGAGAACCCCAGCAAGCCTCAGTGTTGTGGATGTATGTGGCTTTTGCTACAAAGGTCTTCCACGGTCCTCCTCAATGACACTGGTCCCAGCTGATGGAGTAGCTTGGAGTGCCCCCACTCTGCATCTGGTCCCAGAGGCTGGGGCTGTTGCTGGGGTCTTGGTTGTTGATGTGACCATTCTCAAGGACTGGGTGCCACAACACATCACTTATACAAGACTGGAGATACTACTATTCTTTGCACACTCCAGCCCCAGACTGGGGCTTTGTCCCATAATTACTGAGGCAGCCTCTCCTCACTTGAGCCCTGCCCTCAGGATCCCAAGTTACTCTCTGGCTGCCATTTTTGGGACTGTGCTACTGTCACTCTGAGCCCTCCTCCAACAAGACTCTGAACCATAATTACTGAGACAGTCTGTTACTGTCGTGAATCCTCCCCTGGGTTCTAGGTCCCCACTCAGACTTATCATTGCCAGGGGCATTGCCACTACCCTAAGTGTCACTCACTTAGTATGTCCTGAGTCATACGTTGCCTACTATTATCAGAACTGTGCTGCTCTGAGAACGCCCATCTCAGCTCAAGACTCTGAGCTGTCATTCCTGAGATGGACTCTTGCTGCCCTGATCTCTGTCCTGTGGGTTCCAGGTCACAGTTATGATTCTTCATTGCTATAGGTACTGACACTACCCTGGGCCACATCTCTCAAGTTTCAAGTTGAGGTTCTGACCCATGATTGCTGGGACAAGTCTACTGCGCCCTTAATCCTACCCCCCAGGTCCTGGGTTGCAGCTCCGAAATGTCATTGCCAGGGCAGTGCTGCTACTGTTTTGTGCCCAGATCCCTGGGTCCCCACATGTACCTTAAAAAGACCACTACCAGACTTGTGCTGTTGCTATTTTGTGAGTGTCCTGGTGCCAGAATTCAGGCTTTCACCTACATCCTTAGGCTATGCTACCATCACATCTTGTTATTCCAGGATGCTTGCCACTGCTGCATTCCCTCCTACCAGGATGAGTCTTAGTGGTCTTTGAGACCCAGGTACCAGTTACATGGGATATCTGCATATTCTCACACTGCAGATATTAGTGTAGGAGCCACAGAAAGCACACCTATGCCCCAGGATCCAGGCACTGTGATGGTTTCATATAAACCTGATCCTAGGATGGCAGCTCCAATACTGCTCGGAGGGCTCTGAGGGTCAGCATGACTGACCAGGTGCCAAGGAGGGACTCCTTAACTAGAGCTTCCTCCGATGGGCATAAATATCCCAGTGAGGCTATCAGCAGATTTCTCAGCAGAAAACTTGCAGGCCAGAAGAGAATGGGATTATATAGTCAAAGGACTCAAAGGAAAAATTTAAAAAAAACTACATCAATCAAGAATACTTCATCCAGAAAAGCTGTCATTCGGAAACAAAGGAGAGGTAAAGACTTTCCCAGACAAACAAAAGCTGAGGGAATTTATAGCCAATAGACCCTCCTACAAGAAATGCTAAAGAGAGTTCTTCAACCATATGTATAGTAACATGAAAATATACGAAAGTAGAAAATTCACTGGTGAGGATGAATCTGTAGTCAAATTCAAAATACTCTTGTTTTGATCAGAGGAGAAATAAATGAAATAGAGACAGAAAAACAACCAAAAAATCAAGGAAATTAAGAACTGTTTATTTGAAAAGCTAAACCTTTATCTAGATTAACTAAGAAGAGGATTCAAAAAATAAAATCAAAAAGAAAGAGGAGGGGTGTTTGGGTGGTGGTTAAGCATCTGACTCGATTTCAGCTAGGGTCGTGATCTCATGGTCATGAGATGGAACCCTGCATTGGACTTCACACTGGGCATGTAGCCTACTTAAGATTCTCTTTCTCTTTCTCCTTCTGCCCCTTCACTACCCCTTTCTCTCCCTCTGTCCCCCTTTCAGAAAGAAAGAAATGGAGAGAAAGAAAGAAAGAAAGAAAGAAAGAAAGAAAGAAAAGAAAATTACAACTGATACCACAGAAATACAAAGGATTATGAGAGACTTCTGTGAACACTTATATGCCAACAAACTGAATAACCTAGAATAACTAGATAAATCCTAGAAACATACGCTCTCTCAAGATTAAATCAAGAAGAGGGGCACCTGGGTGGCTCAGTGGGTTAAAGCCACTGCCTTCAGCTCAGGTCATGATCCCAGGGTCCTGGGATCAAGCCCCACATCAGGCTCTCTGCTCAGCGGGGAGCCTGCTTCCTCCTCTCTCTCTCTGTCTCTGCCTGCCTCTCTGCCTACTTGTGATCTCTGTCAAATAAATAAATAAAATCTTAAAAAAAAAAAAGATTAAATCAAGAAGAAATAGAAAATCTAAATAAACCAATATCAAGTAAGGAGTTTCAATCAGTAATAAAAAACCTCCCAACACAGAAAAGCCTAGGAATAAATAGTTTGTGCTGGTAATTCTAGCAAACCTGCAAGGAAATATTAACACTAATGCTTCTTGAACTGTTCCAAAAAATTCTAAATGAAGAAAAACTCCCAAACTCATTTTATGAGGTCAGCATTATGCTGACACCAAAGTCAGACAAAGACATTATAAGAAAAGAATATCATAGGCCAATATTCCTAATGAATATACATGTAAAAATTCTCAAAAATATTAGCAAGTAAAATTCAGCAACACAATAAAAGGATCAAATACTTATGGTCAAGTGGGATTTATCTCTGGGATGCAAGCATTCATTAAACATATACTGGACGTCCTAGCCAGATCAATTAAACAAGAAAAAGAAATAAATGGCACTCATATCAGAAGGAAGGATGTAAAATGATCTCAAATACAGAAAACCCTACAGATGGGTGATCTCATATACAGAAAACAGATAGGTGATCTCATATACAGAAAACCCTAAAAACTCAACTAAATAAAAACTATTTTAACTATTAACATGAATTCAGTAAAATTGCAGGATACAAAATCAACATATACAAATCAATTGTATTTCTATAGAGTAACAACAAATTATCTGAAAGAGAAATTATGAAAGCAATTCCATTTACAATAGCATTGAAAACAATAAAATACTTAGGAATAAATTTAACCAAGGAGTTGAAAGACATGTATTCTGATAGTTATAAGACATTGATAAAAGAGATTGAAAAGATAAAAATAAATGGAAAGATATTTCATGTTCCTAAACTTGAAGAATTAATATTGTAAAAATGTCCACATGACCTAAAATGATCTACAGATTCCGTGCAATTCCAATCAAAATTCCAATGACATTTTTCACAGATATAGGAACAGCTATCCTAAAATTAGTTTGGAACTCCAAAAGACCCTGAATAACCAAAGCAATCTTGAGAAAGAAAAACTAAGCCGGAGGTATTGCAATACTTGATTTCAAGCCATATTACAGAGCTACAGTAATCAAAACAGTATGGTACTGGCATAAAAAGAAGCACATAGAGGAATGGAATAGATAGCCTATATATATATATGTGTATGTATATATATATATATATATATATATATACACACACACACACACATACACATATATCTCCACATACAAAGGAAACCTGAACTTGTACCTGTACCTTACATCATTCACAAAAATGAACACAAAATGGATCAAAGATTAAAATGTAAGACCTGAGATCATAAAATTCCTAGAAAAAAACATAGGGGAAAAGATCCTTGATGTTGGTCTGGGCAATGATTTCTTGGATAAGTCACCAAAAGCACAGTGAATAAAAACTAAAATAAATAAATGTGACTATATTAAACTGGACAGCTCTGCACAGCAAAAGAAACAATCAACAAATTGAAAAAAACAACCTACTGAATGAGAGAAAATATTCACAAATCATGTCTGATAAGGGGCTGTTATCCAAAATACGTAAAGAACTCATACAACTTAATAGCAAAAAAATAAAATAACCCAATGAAAAATGAGCAAAAACTTGAATAGACATTTTTTCAAAGATTATATACAAATGACCAACAGGTATATGAAAAGATGTTTAGCATCAGTAATCACCAGGGAAATGCAAATCAAAACCATAATGTGATATTACACCTGGCAGGATGGCTTTTATCAAAAAGACAAGAAATAACAAATATTGGTGGGGATGTGAACACTATTGGTGGGAATATGAATTGCTATAACCATTATGGAAAACATAATGGCAGTTCCTCAAAAAAGTAAACATTGAACTACCTATGATTCAGCAATCCTATTCCTGGTT